CTACTTAGGTCGTACTCTATAAACCTCAAGGGCATTACAACATTTAAAGCTTCACTGGTATCTTCAGAAGTTATCCAAAGGCATTTGCTTAATACAAGTCATGAGGGTATTTAGACCATTATGGTATTTGAGGTAGATTTATTCATTCCAGAGCTTAAGGGTATTCAATCATTATAGGGATTGGGGGTATTTTAGGTCATTTTACACTTCAGGGGTATTTTGGTCATTTTACAGTTCAAGGGTATTTTAGTCTTTTCTTTCTGTTTAGTCTTTCCATTTAATTAAAACTTGTCATTTATTTCAGTCATTTCAAAGAATTCTGACAATAATAGTCTTCCGATAAGTTAGTATTCGGGTGTTTGCTCATAAATCAGAAATTCTAGGTCTAAAGCTTTCTCAAAGTTACAAACTAATTCTAAAAACAATTTTGAACAAATCAAGAATTTAACAGGTGAATTAGTAATTTACCATATTAAATATGAATTCTTACGGTACTTTCACTATCAGGGTCAATTTGGGTAATTTTTATCTCTCAACGGTAATTTTGTAATTTATTAATCAGATAATATCGACATTAAAACTTTTAACGAGGATAAATAAAATTTAGAGATTCAGAGGTCAATTACTTATCTGGATAATCACTGAACTGAAAATTATTTCTTATCATTTTTTTAGTTTCTTATACGTGTAGTCTAAGTCTTATTCAGTTTAATACTTTATATCACATATGGATTGAGTTTATAAATATTAACTACACACGTGATCAAACATAATTACTCATGCATTAACAAATACCAACATGTTCCGTAAAACATACAAATGGTAGTAATGTATTACCTTGATTTTTTTATCTAAATCGATCAAACATTTAAACTCTATTTGATCGCTCTCAACTTGAATCCAACATCCAATAATATCTCGGATACATATCAACAGAAATTGCATCAGAAACAGAGCTTAATTACGAAAAAGGGATCGAATTGAGAGATTCATCAGCGAAAAACAGCTTACCATGTTTGAATTAGGCGAAACAAACCTAAAAAACGGACTCATGATGACAAAAAACATCAGGATAATTGTTCCAAAAAAAGTCAACGACCAGTCAACGGTTGATCAACAGCTCGACTCGGCTCAGCGTAGTTCGGTCCAGACCGGCCCAACCGATTTAGATCGGTTCAGCTAGTTAACAGACCCCCTAGTTGACAGACGACGCCCACGCACAAAGAGCAGCGCATGCGGTGGTTCTGGTCGTCGGTTCGGCGTGAAATTTCCAGTCTTGTAGATCGAAACCTTAGAAGTCTTGTGCATGTTTTATTTTACGAAGAAACACGACGGAGTGTGGAATTTTAAAATGTTCAAACTTTTTCCAACGGTGACGGGCGAGTGACAATAACGAAGCAACGACGAGGGGACACCATCGGTTAGGGTTTGTTCACAAAACTTCAAGGAGCATATGGAAGGTGGCGGTGTTTTGAATGGACGTCGGGATCGGTCGAAAACATTGAAAAATCCGAAGGAGATAGCTTGAACTCCGAAGAATCTTTGTGGGGCTTTGTATGACAAACGAAGGGGGTTCTCGAAGTATGGTCGGTTGGGTTTTGGTCGCGAATCGACGACGCATACACCGGTGGTGTCGGTGTTTGTCACCGGCGGTTGAAGGGTAAACAACGAGAGGGGCAACGAGGGCTTGGTTCAGCTGATGGGGGTTTTTGTTTGGGAATTGATCTGATACGTATATAATCAAATAAAATATTTATTAATTTACAACTTAAATAGGAATCTAGTCTAGTGGTAAAGGCATGGTTTGTCATACCTTAGGTTATGAGTTTAACACCTAACCACACCATTTTTTCCTATGGTTAGAATGGATGAGTAAAATTGGTGTTAGGTCCCTGAAATGACTTGGAGTTTACAGAATGACCCCAAATAATCCAAAATTTAGCAATTTGGTCACCAATTTTATTTTAAATGACTTTAAATTTTTTTTATACTTCTCCATTTAATCTTTTAATTAAATTTGGGATGCTACAAAACCAAATATAAATGACTTGAGTAACCCTAAGGTTAGTTACTCGGACTTGGAGGCCCTAACTGTTCATAAACATATATGATGTCTTACATGTGTTGTACATAAATATGAGCTTACTTATACTCAATATATGATGTGTGTATATATATATATATGCAAACTATTAGTTTTTTTATTAAATTAATATGATTACAAAGTGTATCTTTTCTAAATGATTTTAACAATTTGACAATGAACTTTCAATTACTTCTGTTGTAGTTGTTAGTGCTCGAACCTGGAACACCTAGAAATAACAAACATTCTTTTAACTACTGAGGTAATTTAGTTCATATTCCAAACTATTAATTATATAAACCTGATATATAATACACGTATATTAACTATTATATATAGGAATAAGATTCAATTACAAACTTTATATATGCTACGTATATGCAAACTATTAGTTATGTGTGTGTATATACTCATTATTATAATAAATTGACGCCTTCCAAATGAATTAGTTATAAGAAGTTACTATGAAAATTAAATTATGTATGAGTACAATGATATTTTATCTTTTCCTTATGTCATTGTTATTAGAATATAATTTGATATTTTTTATTTAAAGTTCAAAAAAAATCAAATGATAAAAAATCGTCTGCAATATCATCACTAAGGGTGTTTATGATCGGCTAATTGCACTATTTCATTTAAATGTTCGGTTAACCATTATATCGGTTACTGAATTTTGTTAATTGTAACTTAACAATTAAGAAATTGTTAACCGTCATTAACACTTCGATCACAGGTTAAGTACCTATTACAATTTTTTCAAATACAACACAACATTTTTTTATAAAATTTATGATAATAGAAACATATATTTAGACATCAAATTTATTTGTAGACACATTTTTTTTATAGAAATATATATATTAAGAGGTATATTCCTTTTTTACAATTTAAAAATCATGTATTTCTTCCATCTATGTTTGATTTAATAAATTGCAATATAAGATAAACATGAAAACTAAAAAATAGAGAGGAACTATCTTGATTTTATTTGTAATTCTATTTTATCTAAAAATATAATTTGTTATAATTTATTAACGGTGGCTAAATGATGATTTACCATTTATAAAAAAATTGTAATCATAATTGTAATCATGAGTCAATACTTTTAGCAATTTGATTAACCAAAACCATTAATTTTAACGATTTAATTAGTTAACCTATAAAATTTAATAACTACATCGATTAACGGTTACGATTAATGGTTATAATTTAATTTGAACACCTCTAATAAACACAAATCATTGCTTATGATTATCTATTTAAATTAGAAGAAATGAATCATTTATAACCACGGCTACACACGGCATAGATGTCACCATAAACAAGAACCATTGTTTAATGCTAATAATCTCCTTTTTTTTCACTCAATGACATTTTAGATGTTATATTAAAAATACAAAACTAATTATGCTACTTATATTGTTAAATGATAATTTTAATTAGTGTATAATTATAATAATTTAAGTGATAATTAATTTAAAATAATAATAATTTATTCTTGATATAATTTTATCTATAACATAATATTTATAAATTATAAATTATTATATGATATAGGAGTTCTCTCCATATGTGTTATAAGATTTTTATTCATGTGCGTGCTATAAGAATTTTATTCATGTACATATCGGTAGAAGTATAGTAATCTCAGATGATAAAATAAAAAAATTATTTAAATAATCGAAAAGAATAATATATAGATAAGTATATGTTTTTAACAGAACAACTGATTAAAAACGAGTTGTGGCCTGCAACTATGCAATTTTCTTAAGACAGATTTTTGCTTATTCCTATGGTGCTTGAGATCGTTGGTCGTCTGTCTCCCAGGATACAACAACTACAGAGATCGCGAACTATTCCTTGCCTTTGTCTATCACCAAAAATAACTAGAGCAGAAGAAAAGAAAATTCTTTTTGAATTGTTTTTGAGTTGTTTTGAATTGTGTTTAACCTAGTAGGTTTACAAGGTATTTAAGTGATTTTACATTGTGAACAATTGAAAATTTTTGACCTAATGAAGTATTAATGAGAATCAAGCAACCAAACAATTTCCAAAATTATTGTTTTGATTAAAAGAACCTTTTAATATTTATTCTTTTAATTCCAAAACAAATTTTGAAAAGATATGCTCTATTTGAAGAAAAATATTTTACATTTGTGTAAAAATATCCGCAAGGCCACAAAGAGCCCACTACAGCAAAACAAAGTTTTAGCGGCATTTTTTTAGTCTTATAGCGGCGTTTTTAAGCGCCGCTAAAAACATTTGCGGCGATAGGAAAAACGTCGCAAGAAGCGCCGGCAATACCAGCGCCGCTAAAGTTAGCGGCGTTTGAGAACAAAAAAGCCACAATAGGTCAAGATCTATAGCGGCGTTTTTGGAACAAACGCCGCAAAAGGTCGAGATCTATAGTGGCGTTTTTGGAACAAACGCCGCAAAAGGTCAACATCTATAGCGGCGTTTTTGTAACAAACGCCGCAAAAGGTCAACATATATAGCGACATTTTTGTAACACACGTCGCAAAAGGTCAGATCTATAGCGGCATTTTTGGAATAAACGCCGTAAAAGGTCGATATATATAGCGGCGTTTTTGGAATAAACGCCGCAAAAGTTGATATCTATAGCGGCGTTTTCGGGAAAAAAACGCCGCAAAATGACAGATCTATAGAGGCGTTTTTGGATTCAAACGCCGTTAGTTACCTTTCTTTAGCTAAGATGATTTTGCATATTTCATTTCTGCTCTACATCACCATAATTTAATATCATCTAGCTTTATCTAATTAACAACCATACATTTTAATAAAGACACAAGTTATGCAGAAAAATACTTAACAACAAAATAAATTAAAATTTATAAAAATTAAAATTAAATGTAATGTAGTTTGACATTGTTCTATAGAATTTAGTCTACGTTCTTTCACTTCCAATTAAAAAAATATTGTTCACTAGAATTTAGTCTTCATTGCTCTTTCGTGGGGAAAGGAAGTAAAAAATCCCCAAGCTCCGGTTCACCAAGAAGACTCCTTGCGCGGACTTCTACTTCAACCAAACGCAAACAAGAAGTCTGGAAGATACAAAAATATAAGAAATACTAATAAGAATCAACAGGAAACTTAATATAGAGAAAAAAAGAGAAAACATTTGGCATAGAATCAACCAGCAGAAACACTTGACTTAGTCATTAACACAACAATATAATTCGTGATTATAGTAATGCATAACAACATAAGAAACTAGATCTGGCATGAACTGTATGTCAATATCCAAATAATGCACTGAAAGAGGTGCAAAACATATAATAGCAGTGCATATTGAGTTAAAAAATTTGCAAAATGGAAAAAAACAAGTAAAAGTCGTACGAATTCGAAGTTTCTGAGATCAGGGAAGTTCACAACTACAACAACCATTGCTGCTTCATTTATAGCCACTCGTGTCCATGTTTCTAGACTTCTGTCCTTATTATCTAGCATACCCCTTTCTTCGATATGTGCCACTTGGAGCAAATCATCAGTTGTAATCTGCAGCAATACAATAGCAGAAAGTCATATCTTTGCTAAAAGACATTAGGTTAAGGGCATTTATACCTTTTAAACAACACTATCAAACACGATCCTAAAATTTCACATTCAATAAGTAATAATATCTCAATTTCTTTCATCTTATATATACTAACTAAAACCCTCTTAATTTTATAAAATATGTTTTTCTCCAAGTTTATGCTTCTCTGTTCCGATTAACTATTTTATAAAATATCATTGTGGAGATGAATTATGTTGCTTCCTTGGTAGCCCATCAAGTCCCATCAACTTAGCAACCACAATGGGTGGGTTACGCTTAGACTCCACATCTTTTGACATTTCCTGGGCCAAGAGCATCTTCATGGGTGTTACATTACCTTTCTTGCTTGACAAAGTTCTCCTTAACCCAAATACCATCTGGGTACACAAAAAGAAATAAAACAAGTGAGAATGCAATGTTATTTTTATAATTCAAGTGGAAGATATAGAGACAAACATAATCCCTTTCAGTTTTCTTATAATAATTACTATTGCAGAGACTAAACGCCCAATATTTACCACTTTCTCCTATATCGGATCTCCAAAGGCGGGGCTTAACATCCTTACAACATCAGATTGACTCCTAGAGTGTGAGGACCCTTCCCATCAACCAGCACTATGTTAAAATAGCAAGAACAATAGTCAATGCCAAGGAATTCTTCTCATCTAATTTTGATGCAACCGAGACATGATTGTATAAACCATTATAATAAAAAGAAAAACTCATACTAAAACTGCAAAAGTTGCAGATGAAACCATAAAAAAAGACTACTACATTATCAATAAATTAGGCGGTTCAACCATAGGCTCTTCCACTTTCTCCGCTTCTTCTGGTTTAGGCAGAGGAGGTGGTGAACATTGCTGCACCTCTGGGGTTTTCTTGCACTCAACGACCAACACTTCTTTTGGGTTTTCAATCTGCTTGTCATATCAATCTTTTGTAAGATTAACAGAAAGTAGCAAAAATCAAAACATGAAAAACATGTCATAAAGATGGTAATAGAATATTATATATGAATAATAGCACAACTGGCAGAATAATGATGAAAAATGGTTGATCATTATAACTAGGTATCTAAATTAACACAAATTCATCATATTACATATATTACATCTAATTGCATGTATGTAAAGGCATATAAATATATATAAATCATCTTTTAGACCTGATCTTTACGCACAGTTGAAGCCTGTGGAGTTTCACTTACATAATCTTCCTTTGCTTGTAGAAAGGATGTAGGGGGGCTTCAACATAAATTTCAAATGAAAATTAGTTTCTTCAACTCATGAGAGTTCAAGGCAAAGCGAATCTATCACAGCATGCACCAAAGTTGAAATTCCCTAACCTGCTCTATCTTAATATGCCAATCTCCACGCCCAATATCAAGTTTTTTACATACTTCATAAAATTCTGAAAGCCCCTCCACCTGCAAATACAAAATTAGTTCTAAATCATCTTCATTTACGCTAGAGACAATATTAGCTGAAAAATCAAATTAGTTCTAAATCAAATTATTATCTTAACAAAGACAAATAATTGATACAACAAAATAATGGCATCAAAATTAATTGTGTTGTAGCTGCTATTTTATCTTTCTGATTTGCCAAATCAGTTGTAAATTTGAAAGAAACTCCACCTCCAGAAACAAGCCCTAGTGGAATTCAATTAAAAAAAATTAGTAGAAGAGAGAAAAAATATGAGAATCCCAAGAACAAACAGATCTTAAAACAAATTTGGGGACTTGAAAAATTGAGCTACAAACAGGTATGAAATAACCCAGATATTTATGCCAGAATTTATTATAAGTAGAAAATCGTATGGATGTTTACAGATTACACCTGGGAGATTCAATCACCAAAGCAGTACTGAAGAGATCCTGAAATCATCGAAACTGCAGCATTTTCCGGTATAAAAATTTCAAGAAACTGCTGCAAAAATGAAAAATCTAAAGCGGAATTAGATAAATTTAAACAAACTCCATAAATCCAAATAAGCCCGAGCTTAGAATTTCGATATGAAAAGCCTTCTCTAGAGATTGAGAGAAAACAACAAGGGTGGTGCACATTTACGACGTCCTTGGGCGAGGAATCTTTCTCTAACGGCGATGGGACGGAAGTGTCCAAGGAAGGCAAAGACTGAGACACCATTTTGAAAATCTAAAAGAAAATTAAAAGGAAATTGGATTGTAGAAATAGAAGGGGTAAGTTAGGGTTAGTAGAGGAAACGAAGAGAGTGAAGGAATTGGGAGCAAGTGACTCGGCGAGTTAGGCGAGGTCACCAACTCAGACTCACGGGAGGCAGAGCGCGGAGAGAGGTGCAGTGGCAGTGGTGGTGAAGCAGGAAATCTGAATTCAATGGTGGTGAAGTAGAGAAGAAAGAGAGAATATGAAACATTTTTATTTTTCAGAATGGGAGGGAGAGGGAAGGAAAAAAATAGGTGAAGGGGAAAACATGAAAAAGGGCGCTGGACTTATGAACTTTAAACTTTAGCGGCGTTTTTAAACACAAACGCCACTAAAGTACGAGTCTATAGCGGCGTTTATAAACACAAACGCCACTAAAGTATGAGTTTATAACGGCGTTTTAAAATATAAACACCACTAAAATACAAGTCTATAGCGGCGTTTGTATAAAAACGCCATTAGAGTATGAGTCTATAGCGGCGTTTGTATAAAAATGCCACTAAAGTACTACTCTATTGCAGCGTTTGTTGAAAAATGCCACTATAGATGAATCTATTGTGGCGTTTTTATATAAACGCCGCTAAAGTACTACTCTGTCACGACGTTTGTTAAAAAACGCCACTACTGATGAACCTATTGCGACGTTTGTATAAAAACGCCGCTAAAGTTACCATTTTGTGGCGTTTGGAGTTAAAACGCCGCTATATGCTTAAAGTTAGTGGCGTTTACTCTCAAAACGCCGCTGTAAAACAGTTTTGCTGTAGTGGCCCAACCGGTTCAAACATTAACGTTACACACATTGTGCACATATGCACATATACGAACCAACAATTAGTACCACATTTTACTCAACAACATTTAGATCAATTTCTAATTCAAAACTCCAAGATTATGAAATTTTTTCCAACACATATATGTCTAATTATTATTAAAATCATAAATAATATTTTAATATAGATGTTATTGAATAATTTAGTTTCATGTGTATATATGTCTAATTATTTTATTGAGGTCTAAAATAAATTTTTAATTTAACATAAAATTTATATATTTATTTCAGTCTTTACCTGTGTTAGAAATGCAAATATTGGGTTTATTCCATAAACAATTTTATTTATCAAATATGAAAATAAATAAATGTGTTTATTTTAAATGTGTATAATTGAACTAAAATAAATTTTTATGTATTGAATTAAAATTAAAATTTCAGGTAAGGAATTATATTAAATCAAACTTCATGTATCACATTATATATTTGATCAGAATTTATGCATAATTTTGACATTTATACCAAAATTTTATTAATAAAAGATATATAATATTTTATATAATTCATTGTAGTGAATAAACTATAATTTAAATCTTCCGAATTAAAAATTTAAGTTATTACACGTGATTTTCATATATTAATATAAATATTATATTAAAAATTTTAATCCAGAATTCAAAATCAATAGTATATTCTAATTTATTATCATCACCATCAATCAAAGTTCGATCGCTGGTTGGTTTAAATGGACCGATTTAAATAATAATTTTATACATTTATGTAGATATTCAATTTGTCCGGGGTCTTATTCAAAGTTAATTCGAGTTTATTATTATTAATATTATTATAAGTGTGATATTATATAATTATTAATATATATATATATATATATATATATATATATATATATATATATATATATATATATATACACATATAAGCAGTAAATAAGTAAATAATTAAACAATTAAAAATGCACTAAACATTGTCTTTGATTTTACAGGCCCAAATTACAAAGGGTCATTTGATCCAATTCCAGCAACCCAACCCAAGACCTGTTTGGGGCCAGAACTGATCCAAGCCTAAGGGAACCCTAAATTTTGATAAGGTTTCCATAACCCTCTAGCATTGCGCATCAGGAGTCGTTGGATTCAGGGAGATCCAACGGCATGCATGCTTTAGTCATTAGGGTTTTAGGACCCTTCAGCCGCCACCTTGAAGCGCAACCTTCGGATCTGGACCCATCCAACGGTCCAGATCACGTTCTGCTGCCAACCCATCTCGATCACTAAGTTGCCACCGCCGTTGGACCCAATTACGACGGTCGACCATCCCACGTGAACCTTAGCAACCTGCAATATCAAGAGAAACACGACAGAAGACTCAGAACCAAGTTTCAAGGCAGCAAAACCCAAGTCAACGAAGATAAACTTGCAGTAGACTCACGGGATTTTGAAAGAGAAATCAGAAAACAAAAAATATTGTAAAATCTGGTTCTATATAAACCAGAACCAAAATGTTGTAAGGGGGTGGGACCCTCATATATTTTTCCAGAGAAGAAAAAGCAATAAATATCAAATATTTAAGAAAAAAAACTACCAGCCATCAACAAAAAAAAATGGGAATAGAGACCAAGCAACCATCCAAGAAGAAAACCTAAAAATTTTAGATGGAGGGGTTGTCGTCGGAGGGTCGGTTTAGATGGAGTCTTAGCTCCTCGTCGGAGCGTAGGGCGGCAGATACCAGGGAGGCTTTGGGCTTCGTCGAGGGTTAGGAGAGAGTTTGAGGGAGAGAAGAAGGAAAACGGCGGGGCTTGGTTTGGTCTGGCTGAAGAGAAGTGATTTAGGGTTTTAGATTTTACCCTAATAACCTATATAACAGAACGCCAGAACGGCGTCGTTTCGTTTAGGTCCAAAACGGTAGCGTTTTGATAGCTGAGGGGAAAACTGTGCGTTTTAGGAAAAGGGGTTAATGTCTGGCGTGGCCATCCCAACCTTGTTTCATTTCGATTTGGTCCCTTTACTGAACTTTATTATCTTTTGATTTTGTTGCATGATTTTCAGCGTTTTTCATGATAGTCCAAATTCATGTTGGGGCCATTTTTGTGTTGTTTTTACATTGGATGCACAGTTTTAGAAACTTGCATTTTGATCCTATGTAGTATTTTGGTTGTATCATGTTTGGACTGCCCAGAAATGAAAATGTTATGAAAAGAGCATGTCTTTTGTGTTCTTTACATTTTAGCCCCTTTGTTTAATATTTTATCCATGTTCGTAAGTTTAATTTATATTTATTTTAAATGTATGCATGTATAGTATTCCGAGTATGTTGTTAGTACACTTTTGTTTAGTTGTTGTTTTTTTTTCCTTTTTTTAAAAAGCATGTTAAATCTCGTGTGCATAACTCGATCTAATCACATAATCGGAATTAAGGGTAATGCCCTTTTAATCTAAAATTATCAGAATGGCTTTTCTTAACTTACAGGAAAGTTGTTTTGACGATTTTAAATTAAAATGGTATCCCGTCAGTAACGCCTAATTAAATTTGGATATATCATTGTAAAATTTGGGAGCGAAAGAAAAGGAAATATTCGACTATTTAAACTTTTCGAGAAAAGGTTGTTAGAACTGAACTAAAGATCTGGTCTCAATATTTTTAAATAATCGAATATTCTTTATCTTTCTAATGACTTGGTAATTTTAAATTAAATCTATTTTGTTGCTTTGAATGTTGCAAATTTGCATGTTTGTTGTTTAAAGGGATCATTAATCAAATCAAATTTGAACTTGTGAAATTCGTTGCAAAGAAATTAATTAATCGACTAGGTACCGATTTAGGGCGTTGTGGGGGTGCTAATCCTTCCCCACGCGTAACCGACTCCCGAACTTGGGTTTTGGTAACGTAGACCGTAAATTTGTCGTTTTAATTAAAATTAATTTTATTTAAAATGACAATGTTTTTGGGTGCCCAATCACACCCTAATCAAAGATTGGTGGCGACTCCTCGAACCTTATATTTTTATCGTAAAGGAATTTCCAATTTTTCGAAACGAGAGGTTTTCTAAAATCGCACTGTTTTTATTTAAAAAATCCAATTGAAAAGATAATAATTAAAAATGATGCGGTTTCCAAAATCTCGCCCCCGCTCCCGTTAAAAATCGTTTCTACAGCTTGGCGACTCCGCTGGGGACTTTTTTTTAGAGAGTCAGGCCGATCGTCGATTAATTAATTATCTTTGCAGACGAAATTTATAAGTTTGCTTTAATTTGGTCTTTGATCCCTTGTTTGTTTGAATTGTTTTATTTACATCTTAATTTGTGATTTAAAATTCTTCTTCTTCCTCGATACTCTGTTAGTTAGTTGGTTTTTCCTTTTTCCAGGTTTTTTGCACTTCATTTTACGATTTTCCATTTTGGCGTTCTTTCTAGTTTCTATATATCTCCAAACTACTAATCCGCTTTTTGAATCTTCCATTTTCCCCTTTTCTTTAATTTTTAGGGTTATCTGTTAAAAAACCATTTTTCCTAAAAAATCTCGCTTTTGTATTCTCCTGCTTGCAACATTTGTAAAACCTGTCCTCATCCGATTGAGTTTCTCTACAACAGTGCCCGTTTGTGGACAGAGTTTCAGCTTTGGTTTTGCCTTTTGTTATCTTCAGCTGGGTATAATACACCAAGCATTTGCAGCCTTGTTCGAAATTTCCAAATTCCATTTCCAGTACTAAGTCAGTTTGAACAGATCCGTGGATAATTTCTTCTTCTGCTTGGTTTAATCCCTCGTTTGATTTAAGTACCGAAACTTCAGAATCTTCAGATCCCAGATCTTCCTGGGGTTTTATCATTTCTCGATACTTCCATCGTAATTTTGGGAAATCGGTTTAGAATCAGGGGACACCGCTTATTATTATATATTTTTCGCTTATTTGAATCTAACTTTCTGTATTTTTAGTATTATTATTTGTTTTCAGCTTAGTTTTCTCGCACTTCCGAACGAACTTTCTAGGCTCAATTTCTTCCGCCTTGCAGTTCGATCGGACCACCTTCCTCGTAGAGCAACGATCGCCTTCGTCAGCGGTTTAATTTCTGAACAAAAATTCTGGATTTTCTCTTTTTCTTCTAATTTCATAAGATTTTGCATGCTAATTTCTTGATAGGTAAAGGTTTGATTTTGTGTTATAGCACGGTTTTTATCAGATTTTTATCTGAACAAAGATTGTTAATTTCGCATCCACGAATTTTGATATATCCCTTTTAGCTCTGTCGTTGTTTTGCATATCCCTTGCATATTTTTGTACTTAATATTTCTTAATCTTGTTGTTGTTGGATCTGCTTTCTTTGACTTAGCTTCTTGCTGTTTTTTCTCTTGTTTTTATACTGATATTTTTTTACCAGCTTTGGGTTTGATGTTTTTCAATTAGTTGAGTAGGATTTCATTACTCTTATATCTCGT